GTGATTGCAAAGACCATGGCCTGTATCAGGCACACCTTAGAGTCAGAAAATCAAAAGGGACGAACTTGTTCAGCATTTCTTAAGCTCAAAGAACTGAAGAACCTACAAATACTCCTTCAAATATTTCCCTTCCCTGAGTCTATTTGGGAAGCCCATCTGCGGTTTCCATTCTAACCCCTGTCTCCAAAATTGGTTTCTCCAGCAGCAGGTGGTGTTGTTGTGGGGGTCAATGCCCTGATTTTGCTCCCCTTGCCCAGCTAAAGAATGAGGCCAAGCAGGAGACAACCAAGCTACTGAAGCAGTGCAGTGTACCCCAATTTCAGTGGCCTTTGGGAGAGCCCAGAGCGTAGGCTTAAGCCTATGTTAGTGCATGAGGCCAATAAGAAAGGTGAAGAGGTAGAAGGGAAGGTAAAAAGAAAAGATAGATGTATTAGAAAAGTCCATCCCAAGTGTGTGGACCATCCTCCCTGGAAAAGAAGTAATGGAGGAGTTAATGTCACTGAAGTGAGGTTGTGTATTTATCTCCTGCTGTGTTAGGGTTAGAGTCTGATGTCATCAGGGAGAGTTCAAAGTTTAATGGGTGGTTCTTATCTCAGTCAGCTGTCTTTGAAGTCACCATGCACCTAAAATATTAATTAGATTGCTTGGGGGGAGGGAGGAATTGGGTTTTAGCTTTATGGGGATGGGAGCTCTGGTGACCTAGTGTTAAGAAGCTACCCTGTTGCACACTCAGGTTTATTGAGGCTTTGTTCACAATAGCAAAAAGTTGGAAACAACCTAAGTTCCCATCAACAAACGAATGGATAGAGAAGCTCTAGTATATTCACACATGGAATACTATGGTGCATTGAAAAACAAGGAACTAATGAAATATTATACAAAATGGGTGACTCTGGAGGACATTATGCTGAGTGAAATATCTCAGTCACAAAATGACAAATACTGCATAGCACCCCTGTTGTGTTGGGGGGAGACTGAGAAAGATGGGGAAAATTAAGTATGCTGCATTGAAACAGATGAGGGAAAGAACTGTTTTAAAGGAATATATGCTTAGGTATTATTGTCATGACAGGAGCCCAGAACAAAGGCTGTACAGTGGAGTGGACTTGGGGTCGGGGAGGGATTATATAACAATGAAAGAAGTTTTCTTTTACTTTTCAAAGAGAAGAGCAAATTGGGTGGGGAGGGGTAGGCAGGGAGAAAAGTGCAACAATGAATGAATGAAAATCCAAAGTCTCTGTAAACTTTCATTAAAATTAACAATAAAATTTTAAAAAAGAAGGTGCACTGAAATCCCAATGACACACACAGTTTGAATCCACCAGCTGCTCAGATGAGAAAAGAGACAATTTCCTTCCGTGAGATTTACCTCCTCTACAATTTCCTTCTTTGTGATTTCCTGCCTCTGAACGCCCACTAGAGGGTCAGCTAAGGGTCGGTTCCAAATCAACGATATACAAAAACACTGTACAAGAAACTAAAACTTTTTGGATTTGCCAACCTTGGACCAACAGCAGACAGCACACAATACCACCACGTTTACAAAACATGAGTTTCTGCCTCTTTTATCTCATTAGACTCTGCCCTAACATACTCTCTACCCAGTTTTGCCTTATTTACCTAATTTTACTCTAACAGTGGGAGAACTGTGGTTTTTCAGTAACCCTTCTGTTCCCTCCTTGTCTCCTTTCTTGCAGGAAAGGGAAATCCCTGCATGGACCTCAGTGAGTCTTTGATGACTGCTTCATAAACCCCAAGAGCGTCTACATTATCTAGTAGAGAAGGGAAAATGCCACCCACAGAACTTTCCAGGAAACCTCCACCCCATTAAAATGTAGGGCTTCTACTCAGTTATGTAGAGAGGGTCTGGGTCAGAGCTAGAGAGATCTTTTAGCATCCAGCCAATTACAGAGTGTGGAAATATGCCTAAAATGGATGTCAGGCCTTGACCCCACAGTGTTCTTCTCCTTTCCATGCCACTGCTTCTCTACTGGCAACCGGGTAAGGGGAACCACCTCTCAAAGATTCAAAACCTCAGACTGCCTCAAATAGTCCATGATTTAGGCTTCAGAGGGTGCCCTAATCTAAGGCTCTACACAAAGCAAAAATGTCCTTTACTCCATTTACCATCAGCAAGCTTCTGGTCACTGTGCCTCCACACAGGTCTTCCGCTTCCTGCTGGTCTCTTTGTGTCGTCTGCACACAGTACTCTGGCACAGGGCAATGCCTAATGTCTATGCCATCATGTGGCCCCTCTGCAAGATTGCTCTCTCTCTTTCAGTGGGTTTCCCAACACACCCGCCCACCCCCGTGCAGAGTTAAATTTCCCTGAAAGAGCTGTCTGCGGCCAAAGTCCAAGGCCCTGTGCATACTGCAGAGGCAGAGCTCGAGGTCCCCGGGCCAAGCTTTAGGAGAGCTGAGGAAAGAGGTTGTGTGTGCCTTCTCTACTGAAAGAACGGTCTGCATGGCCCACACAAATATTCTTTCCAGGACACAGATGAGGTCAGGCTAAGGCTCTTAGCTCTTCTATTATTGTTATTTGCTTCTCTTCTCATTTGAAGCTAGTCAAGCAAGCACATCATAAGCATGAAGCACCCTACAGTTTTCAAAGGTCTCTTATCACCTGATATTCATAACAACAGCTATGTACTGAGTTATTATCATTACCCCCTTTAATTGCTAAGGAAACTGAGGCTCAGGGAGATGAGTCACGGTCACATTGGGCACAGCAGCAGAGTCAAGATCAGACAGCAAGTCTCCTGGTTTACAAAGCTGCAGCAACAACCAGCTGCCTTTCGGGATGGTTTCCCCCTGCAGTGTGTGTGGCTTTTGTTCACAGGAGTCCCCTTTGTCAGACTTGGATTATAACCTTGCCAGGGCCCGGCTGTTTCTCCTGAAGCATACATTGTTCAGTCTCTCTGTGAGATAGTGCATGCGTGGTCACGTGACAGTTGCCGGGCGTACACTCGTGGGCTGGACAGCACACCACAAAGGCAGCGTGTGCACAGACCCGGTGTGTGTAATGCTGGTGTCCACTGCAGCGTTCATTTCTTCCAACCTGCCTGCCCAGTGACCTCTGGTGGTATGTGATGAACAGTGACCACTGGGTGGCAGTGTGTTCTCATGTCTGGGACCAAATAAGTCTCCAGGGGATGGGGACTGTGGGGGATGGGGCAGAGATGGGCAGGAACCTGGGCCAGCTGCCCAGAAAGGTTGCAAGACCTGATCCCCTGGAGGATTTGACATGGCAGCAGGCTCCTCCCCAGACTAGGACCTGCTTTCCTGTGTGTGTGTGTGTGTGTGTGTGTGTGTGTGTGTGTGTGCGCGCGCGCGCGCGCGCCCTGTAACCAGAGGGTCAAGGACAAGTGCTGAAGTGCAGCTACTGTAGGGTGGGGTGGGACAGAGAGACAAAAATATAAAGGAAACCAGGCCAGCCTGCATAGTATGGATGGAATGATGGAGGAAAGGAAGATTGTAGATAAAAGAAGAGGTGAGAACTTTTTTAGGGTTTCAGAAATCTTGCTAACCAGGTAAGTGAGAATAGGAAAAAAGAAGAAGCAAAAGATACCCAAGGAAGAAATACAGAGGCCAAGAGCAGAAAGGGAAGATGGGAATAGGAAAACAACTGATCTTAGCTAGGTAAAGTGGGTCAGGAGGCTGGGGTGGGAGAAGAGTGCCCCCAGAGGCTGGGGAAAGACAGGAACTTTCACCAGACAAGGAGTCAGACTCTGGCTTGCTGCAAACAGGGAGTTTATTTACCAGCTGAGATGGAAGGGACAAAGACTGAGCTGCAAGAATCAGAGGACTACTTCAGCGGTAGATCAGGGCTGCTCTGGCTCTGGCTCCAGTTCTGGCTCTGGCTCCAGCTCTGGTTCTTGCTCTGATCCTAGCTCCAGGTCTTGCTCCAATTCCTCTGTCTTGCTCTCAGCCTGGGGAGGGTGAATCCCACTCTCTAAGGCAGAGAATCTTCTTGGCCGCCACTGTAGGAAGAAATAAGAGATATGTTGGGTAGGAGGAAAACAATGAGATGAAGGAAACAGAAAGGACACTGAGTGCATTCTCCTTTCCTGGCCTCTATGTCCTCTCCATTGGCCCTTGGCCTTCTCCCAGCCATTCTGTGCCTCCCTAGGCAGGAGAAGTGAGAAAAGGTAGTGTTGGAGGAAGGCCCCTAGCTCACCAGTCGTCTCCTAAGGTGAAAGCCAAAGGCTCCTGTTGAAAAGAGGAACAACAAGAGGATTCCAAGAATGAGAAAGAGTGAGAAGTGGCTTGCTTTGATGGCACCTGGGGCTCTCTCAGAGCGCTGAGCACCTGTGGAGAAAATACAGGATTAGGCACAGGGTCAGGGCTGAAAAAGATGCTTTGCCACTGTGTCATACTCTACAGATGCAGACAGTGAGGCCCATAGAATTTAAAGGACTTCTGCCATTTACTGGCAGAAATGAGTCCAGCCTAAGCAAGAAGGAGTGATCAGGACTCACATGGAAAGAAATGAGGTGGGATGGGGGCTAGATCCAGGATCAAGGTCCAGACAACGGGTCAGGAGCTGGGGCTGTGGTGTTTCAGAGTTTCAGACCTGGCTCAGACAGCTCTGTGACGTATAACGCAGATCCAAGAAGTCTCCTCCCCTGATACACCTGGCACTGCCAGGGCTGGGATGGTGGGGTTGGCATCTCCAGCCAGGGCCCTAGGGAGCTCTTCCACGTCTCGTTACTCAGGGGGCTCCACACAAAGCGTTCTTGTCCAGATGCGGGAGTCACTTCACAAAACAGCTTCCCAGGAGAGCCGGGTGACCCAAAGGGTTTGTGAGTCACTGAAAAAAATCAGAGGGAAGAGGTCTGACCCCTTTATTTGATACCACAGATCCACTTCCGAGTCACCCTGCATTCACCTGGGTTCTGACTGGGGGAGGTTGGGGGCAACCAGGAGTCATAACTAAATTAGTCTTATCTAGACAATGCTTTGATCAGATTGCGCTCTTGCTAAAAGCTTTCCAGACTTTGTTCTACCTTTGGGACATTGCTCAAACTGCTCCTGAAGGATTATCCCTGCTATCACTCCTGATTCTTTTACTTTACTTTCTACTCAGCTTAGAACTCTTACTATCAGATAAGTTAACTCCCATCACATACCCTAAGGAGCTCTGGTGGCCTAGCGGTAAAAAGCTGCACTGCAGTCCCAAAGGCACATGGTTTGAATCTATCAGCTGCTCTGCAGAAGGATGGGCAATCTCTGCCCATGTGATTTACGGCCTCTGAAAACCCACTGGGAGGTGAGCTGAGTCAGTTCCGACTCAATGCCACACAACATCAATAACATGTATTTTGCTTCATGCTTTTCTGCTTCATGACCTAGTTCATGTACGTGTACTCACCTTGATGTACCTCCTGAATGTTCTCTATCCCCCCTTTCACAATGTTTTCACTGATCTGATAGACTGGTCTAGAGACATAGTCTTCTCAAAACTGCCTCAACTCAACTCATTGCTGTTAAATCAAAACCGACTCATAACTGACCCTCCAGCAAATGTGGAGAAGGATATCATGCTTGGAAATGTGGAGGGATGGAGAAGGAGAGGAAGACCCTCAACCAGGTGGACTGACACGGTGACTGCAACATTTGTTGTCCTCAAGAAGAAAGACAATAGAGAGAAAGAACTGGGGACTTTGGTGACTGACTTCATATAAGAAGAGAAGGCGAGGTTCCAAGTGGAGTTAGTACTAACAGAAAGGCTTACGTCAGCAAAAGGATTGAGTATGAGGAAAAAATGGGCTCAGCATGAAGTTGTGGTGTGGTACAATACCTAGGTCAAGCTAACTAGGAAGTAGATGAAAACACAGTGTTGATTAACCCTCAGAAAATGTATTAGTTGCTAACTTAATCATTCAACTGGTACACATTATTGAGGACGGCAAAGGACAGGACAGGGTTCAGATCTGTTGTTTACAGGGTCTCTATCAGTCATACTCAGCTCAGCAGCACCTAACAACAACATGTACTGCAACTATTTAGTGGCCACAGGTGAAGAAGACCACAAATACAACCAGGCTGTCATGGCCAATAGTTATCAGTCAATCAACACACACTTTGAATATTTTCTCCCCGTGTTTGTTTTATACTGTCTGGAAGGCCTTTGCTCAGTAAATATTTGCTAACTAAGGGCCTGATTTATCAACTCTTCCCCAATCCAATCAACATCCTGTAATTTTAACCCAAGCCCTGGTCCCAAAGTGAACATGGATTATGGGAAATATAGTTTACCTTACTTGAATCATTCAAACTATTGCCATCTCTTCTTCCAATTGCTCTGACCCTCCCACAAATTCAGGGCAGGGGAGTCCCTTTGAGAACAGTGGAACGTTTGTCTTGTGACTCAAGGGGAGATTTTCAGTTTCAGTTCTTTACAAAAGGGGTAAGACAAAAGGAGGCCACAATGGGCAGCCTCTGGAACTTGTGCCCAGTGCCTAGCATCATGGCTATGGATTTGCTCAGTCTCTTCCCAGCCTGTCTGCTTCCCTGTCCTAGTTACCCGGGGGGGTTGGGGCTGCTCTTTTCCCACCTGGTGCTGACCTGTGATGACTGCCAAAGTGATGGTGGTATTAAGCTGCTGCCCCCGAAGATGGATGTTGCAGGTGTAGCTCCCAGCCTGGGCTGGGCTCACAGCCTCCAGCCAAAGGGTAAAATTGCCATTGTCTCCAGCCACCTGGAGGTCAGGGCCGCCTCCAGGCAGAGCCCACCTGGCAGTGAGGAAGGATTGGGCCCCCATAACAAGAGGCAGACGGCAGGGCAGCTCCACCCTAGAACCTGCCCCAGCATACACTGTCAGGGGGTCTGGGGGCTCCAGACCTGGAGAAAAAAGGAACACAAAGTTAGAGTTGAGAGAGGGGTTGGAGTGTTGTATCTGCAGGGGGGCAGAGGGCAGAAGAAGGAGGAGGTATCTGTCTCTGAGAGGACTAAAGAGCAGAAGATGGGGGACTGAGGGTGCTCAGACATCCAGGGCATGGGCTGGGTCCACAGAAAATCAAAGACTAGCCAATGAGGCTGGATGGCCAAGGCAAAAGCTAGAAGGACCTGAAAAGTTGCCACAGGAGAAAAGGGTTGAACAGTGGAGTCAGAGCAACCACAGGTGGTACTAGTTGCTGAAGACTTGTTTGGGGGACAAGAGAGGTGACAGGGGGCAGGAAGGGGTTGTGGTCAAGTATGAAGGCAGACTGGAGGAGTTACCCAGAACAGTGAGGCTGTATGTGATGGAGACAATGAAGCCATCTCTGTAGGCGAGGTTGCAGCCCCAGGGCCCTGAGTCTGAGGGGCTGACTTGAGGCAGGAAGAGGAAGCTTCCAGCTAAGTGATGCTGGGGGGATTTTTGGACAGGAACCTGAGTCCTGCCTCGGAACCAGCGCACAGATACTGGGAGATCAGGGCGGCTGAAAGAGCAGTTTAAAATAACTGGCTCGGAGGTCTTGAGAGGCCCTGTGGAGCTGGCAGTAACTGCAAAATAAAGAAGGCTAGGTCAGCCCCACTCCCAAGAAACATTTTCCCTATTCAGGGGGACCACAAACCTGGAAGCTCCAGGTAACCGACTAGTTTCAGATTTCTTTGTCCTTCTCTCCCTCACCCCAGTCAAGGGCTATTTTCTCTTAACTCTGCCTCCTGTTCACTTGGCTTCTTCTACCCTCCTCTTTCTCCAGGTCAAGCTTGAGGATCTCCCCGAAGCCCACCCCCAGTGCTACAGATGTCTGAAATGACTCATTCTAACCTATCGATCTTCTGACACCCCCTAGTACCCAGAAGAGGGGAGCCCTTGGTACCTCCCCACTCCTACCAAGGCATTCTCGCTGTGGGTGGGGGAAAGGTAGTCGGAGGGGTGAAATCTCTCAATTGGGTCCTCCTCCACGCACGTGCTGTTCTGGGGACACCTGCCAAGGCTCAATCTAGCCCAGCCCCCTTTCTCTACCCCTCTGGGAGTGATCTGACAGAGACAAGAGTACATCTTGAGAGGCACAGCTTCCCCTAGTCCTTCCTGCCTCCCGGGTGGCGGGGAATGAAGGGCCCTCCTCCCTGCTCCTCGCCCCTCGTCCCGCCCCCACCTACTCGAGGCCTGGCCCACGCGCAGGCGAAGGCGGCAGGATAGGGCGCGGTCCCGGAGGCGCACGGTGGCGCTGTACTCGCCGGCGTCGGCGCGCCAGGCTGGGCGCAGCCACAGCGAGAAGTCGCCACTTTGGAAGTCTCGCTCCGCCAGCTGGATGCGGGGCTCCAGGGGCTGCTTCCCGCTGCGCAAACCTCCCGAGGCCACGATCAGCACTGTGTAGCGGCGAGGTCCTGTCCCTGGAAAGGAGGGCGCTCGGGGGCGCAGGCCAGGAGCTGGGGAGCTGCCAGGGACGGGATCAGGCGGGCCACTAGGAGGGAGAAAGAGATGGCATTGAGACTTGAAGGGTAAACAGTCCTGGGAGAGAGCACTCCAACCCCTCAGTGAAGACCCAGAAGCGTGTCCCAAGAAGAGGTCTGTTGACCACCAGCCGCCCTCCCCATCGTTGCTATGCCTGGGCCTGCACCATCCACTACAGGAGAAGCGGGCATACTTTGGAATGTAGATGTGAGGGGTGCAATCTGAGACGAAGGGGCTGGAGAGGTGCCTGGTGGCAGGTGAGATTGAGACCCTGGTTGAGGGGAATTGGGAGCTCTTGAGAAGGACTGGGTGGCATGCCCTGAGGGAATCATGGGAAGGGTTAGATGTTGAGTTGTGAATCTCATGGTCCTTAAGGCTGGATTTGGGAGTTCTGTTGCCCAAGTGTGGGGTGCATACCTGTCTGGCTGATGCTGCCAAATGACCGCTGCACCTCGCAGAAGGTTGACATCCTTGACAGGAATTTTGGGGTTGCAGGGGAGTTGGACAGGTGCTCCTTCCTGGGCCCATACCACGGGGACCTTTGCCCTAGGTTCTGACGTCTCCACTGTCAAGGAAGAGAGAGGCTGAGGCAGGTGGGGCCATGAGCCAAGACTCTTAGAAATATAAAAGAACCCTGGTGGTTCCCAATGGTGGGAAAAAAAAAAGCTCTAGGAAGAACTTGGTTTCTACCTCTTCCCAGTGTGAGTGGGATAGGGTCTAGGAGGGTTGCCCAAAGGAAAATGTTAGATGAATCCAGCACAAGCACTAGAGACCTCGGGTCTATGGGGTCACAGAGAGATGACCCCTTCCTGGGTCTCAAAATCAGCCCTCCCACCATCACCACCTTACCTGGATCCACCCACTGCAGTTGGAGAAGCAGCAAGATCAGGAACTGTGCCTCCCACATCTCCCCTATAGCTGGGGCAACCCTAAGCTCTCCAAAGGGAGGTGGTCAGTAAAGCAGTGATGGTGGACAGAAGAGGGGTTCCACAAAGAGGGAGGAGAAGGAAGGGAATCTAGAGGAACGGGGCTGGGAGGGGGACCTGGAGAGAGAGGTTGGTAACCAATGATCAGAATCAGGAATCCAGGCGAATGCTGGCCAGATCAGGCAGCCTGAAGGCTGGTTTGGGGGTCCAGGGGTGTCTCAGGGAAAGGACCAAGGCAGCAGTGCAGAAAGTGGAGGCAAGCTGTTGTGTGAGCTGGGATGCCTTGTGTGCTGCTCCCAGGGCCCTCACCCCTGTCCTGCCCTCCTTCCACCTTCCCCACTTCCCCTCCGCATTGCCCCCCCTACACACACCCCAGAGTTCACGGTTTCGCTTCGCAGTGGAAAGTCTGAGGGGGTTGATTCCCAGCAGCATCACCCTCCACCCCTTGGTGGTTCTCCTCTTGTTTACTTCCTCTGTCCTGGGTCTTCCCACTGCCCCTTCCTCAGCCCTCCCCACCCTCCTGTCTATTCCCTTTCTTGGGAACTTTCTGCCCTTTCCAAACCATTTCTGCCCTGAACAACCTGTTTGCCCATCTATAAGCTGCCCCTTCAGTCCAGCATTGATACTTTCTTTTGGCAGTTCTCCTTGGTCATTCTTTCCTTTTAACCTCCCAGAATTTCATTATACAGTAAACCTGCCTTCTCATTTAAACCTTTAAAATGACTTTTGGGAATAGATTGGACAGGTAGCTTTACTGCACCCTTGGAAAATATACCCTAAGTCTAGGAATAATCACTACATTATATTGAGCCTCCCCTGTGTGTTTAGGTTCTGTACTGGACACATTTTATACAGTAACTCACAGAATTCAGTATTATTCTCCATTGCAGAGATGAATAAACTGAGGCTCAAGGATGACATAATTTGCTAAAGCAAACAAATAGTGTAAAGACAAAAACTGTGTTTATAGTTGTGAGCCCCTGGGTAAACTGTGCCTTCTCATCGGAGAATAACGTCTAATCTTCTTTCACACACACACACACACACACACACACACAAACATGTGCAGTGTCCAGTTCTTTCTCACACCCACACCCACAAATTATGTCCATTTCTCTCACATACCCAGCCCATCTCAGACCCTTATGCATTTGAGGCTCAGCTTCCCCCAATCCAGATGTTTTGAACTAAGAGGAGATGGCAAAGGTATTAGGAAAAAGGAGAAATCCAGAGTCAGACCAAGCAGTAAAAATAGGCGGAGAAACCTGGGAAGGAAGCCTGGCACCGAGAGGTGAATCCTGCTCTAGTGCCGCCAAGAGAACAAGATGGTGGCAAGGCAGTGCTGGAGCAATACACAACAGCAAGTGGCCTGGACGCAGAGACCCTGAGGTCCTTCGTGCTTGACCACAAGGAGCTCACTTCCTCCAGGCCAGTACAGGGAATCTCCTGATGTCAGGGAGCTCTCCCACAGGATCCTAGAGAGCCGAGACTCACACCTACAAGCCCTCTCCCATGTCAGGGGCAGGACTTCCTGTTCTTGGGGCTGTTTTTATTTGCCTGGTTCAGCACAATAAGCAGTGGCAGCTTTCCACTAGGCTCAGCAGTGTCTCAGCCTTGTGTGGGTTAACAGGGAAGTATATGCTGCTAGAAAGGAGCATCCTTGAAAATCAAAAAAATGGGACAGAAGTCAGTTGTGCTTCCTGTCCATTTCTGAGTACTGATCTCGTCTTCTGGAGTAGAACTGGTGCTATTTTATTTTTTTCTAAATGGAAAGAGGACATGTGATCATCCACCCCTTCTCCATTATTGAATTGACTGGGCCCTTGGAAAGCAGGAGACAGTTTAAAAACAGAAGCGCGACCATTTCTTTATTAAATTATACAAAAAAGGGGAGAGGAAGGGGGCAACTGTGGGGCTTGGTCCCAACCCCGGCCCCCCAAGGCCCCACCCTGGCCTGGCGCTGTCTGAGAGGAGGGGATCTGAGGGAGATCCAGGGATCAGGCAAGTTAGGGATGGTCAGGAAATGAGGTGGGAAGATGAACAGGTAAGGGAAGAGGCTGCCAGAGGAGGGTGGGATTGGCTAGGGGAGGAAGAGATTAAGGAAATAGAGAAAAGAGGGATTGGGGACCAGTTGGGGTGCTCAGATGGAACAGGTCAAGTGGTGGAACAATGGCAGAGTGAGGATGGGAGGATGGATGGATGGATGGATGGATGGATGGATGGATGGATGGATGGATGGACGGACGGACGGACGGATGGACGGGGCAGTGTCTGGAGAGGTGGAAATGAGAAGGCTGGGGAGGAAAAAGAAGGTGGCAGCTCTAGTGAGGCCCAGAGCAGGAGCCAGGTGAAGAGTGGCTGTACTTGTCCATTCCCACTCCCACCTCCAGGAGCCTCCAACCCCCAGCCTGTTGGTCCGGGGCTCATGCTGATGCCCCATTTTCTGTCTTCTGCCGCTTGGGGTCTGCTTCATCCTGTAGGCAAAAAGAATTGGGCAGATGTAAAATGGGAGGAGGGCCTCCCCATGGCCCAGCCCTGCTCCAGCCCCTCCCGGACCACCACAGGGACCTGGGTCCAAATCTAACGGAGTTCCAGCCCGGCTGTAACCCTGACAGTCCCTTGGGTCCCACAACCCAGCCCAAACCTCCTCTTCAGCAGCTCTCTTCAGCGCGGGCCCTTCGTCATCCTCTTCTTCTTCTTCCTCATCTGAGGAGCCAGAAACGGGTCATTGGGGAAGGGCAGGAAGCTCTAGCAGAGACCCCTGAGGTCACCCTCAGCCCTGCTTCAGGTCTTCAAACCCATTCTGACTCTGTTTCCTCTGCACCCTACACCTAACCCAGCACCATTTCCTCTGCCCCATCCCACCTTCCTCTTCTCCTTCATCTTCCTCCTCTCCATCCTCGGCAGTTTCTTCTTCTTCTTCCTCAGCCCCGTTCTCCTCTTCCTGCAGGAAACAAGAGAGGAAGCAATTAGGCTGTTAGCAAGTTAGACTGGCTATATACCTCAACCCACCATGACCAGGGTCATGAAATGAGATGATCAAAGCACTTGGGAAGCATCTCAGGTTGGGACTGTGAGGGTGGAAGGAGGGAGCCAGCCCAACAAGTTACTGTGAGGAAGGATGAAATCATGGGCATGGTGGGGCAGATCTGGCCATTTCCCCCCTGACCCTTCCGAACCTCAACCACTTCTTTCTTCCGTTCTTTCCGGCCTGCCTTCTCCTCCACCTTCTCTTTCTTCTCCTTCAGGTCCTGACAGGGAGAGAAAGGTCACCTTAGTCCCACCACAAAAGATTTGCTGCCCCTCTAGCACTGTTTCTGCAGAGATGGGAGTGTGAAACGGAGAAGGTAGACACAGCATAGAGACAAGAACACAGGTCCCAAGGTCCTTACACTGAGGCCAAGAAATGGGCTGAAGCCACAGACCTCCTTCTCCAAAAGGGAAGGTGTTGAAGCAAAGGGGAGCAGGCGCCAAGGTAACTGATCCCCACCCCCATCAAGTTCTTCCAAACCTCGCAGGCTGATAGAGTTCAGCTCAGCAAAGCAAATCCCCTCCATCTGCTCGCAGCCCTCGATGCCCCACCCCCTCTGCCTGTCCCTCAGCCTCCTTTTGCCTGCCCCCTCCCACTGCTTGCCCTGCTCTGCCTTTTGTCTACCTCTAGGGCCTTTTCCTGAGTACTCTCTTCCTGGGCATCTCTCCCAACTCCCCCTCCAGCTTCTCAGGCCTTTGTTCCGGTTTCTCCCTAATCCTCATGCTCCTGTTTCGCCAAACCCCACTGGAGGAGGAAGAGCACCCCAACATGATTCCAGCACCCTCTCCCCACCACAAACACTTCTTCTTCCCTGCCCCTACAGTTAATGAAAGGTGAAGCAGTTTTCTCCCAGGTGTGTGTGTGTTTAGTAGAAGCCATTTCCAGTAGAAATGTAGGTAAAGTATGATTTTTAAAAATCATGGAAGCACAAGTAAAAGGTACTGCAGATGCAGACAAAACAAGGTCCATGTCTAGAGTATCCTCTCCCCACCATTCCCTGTCTCTCCTTCACCCCGAAATCCCAACAGGCACACCCTTGATATCCTAATCTGATGTGGCAGAGACAGATACTCATGTGAGTCCCCTCTGGACACTGCACCTGCCTTTCCAATTGGGTTTCCAGTCCTCTTCTTACTCCACCTTTTGGCAGACACTGAGGGACACTGTGGGTGTCCCTGTGTGATCTGATCTGGCTTTTCTGTGCAACTCTGTATCTGATTCCATGTGGATCAAAGTTTTCTGTGTGAGATTACCCTGGGAGAGAGGCTATGTCCTTTCTGGAACAAGAGTTTGGGGATAGAAGGATGGTCTAGAGGGACCCTCTATTCCCTTTTCACTTTAAGAGGGAGCACAGAATATTTCATCCTCTCACCCCACTAGGTTTCTTCATCCGATTTACTGCCCTCATTTCTTTGCCACATAGTTTTAATGACATGTGTACTACCTGGTGGGTTTTCCCCTACAATTTAGGCCAAGAGAACCAAGGGCTAGTCAGCACCTCTCTGGGGTCCTAGTTCCAAGACTCTAGCCATGGCCTAAATTTCCCATCTGGGCTGATGGTGGGAGGGAGAGTGCAAAGGAGAGAGGAAGAACACCACAGACTAAAGTCCAAGGGGCCGGCCATCTCCTCCCCTGTCCTGTCCTTTTGGTCACTGTCCTTCCATGATCCCTTTTCCGGGACGGTTTGTGATCTAGCCCTAGGTCTTGCGCTAAGCAGCTCTCTGGCCTCATTTACTCAACACAGACACACTGGCTGGCACAGACTGACATCAATCCACTCACAGAGCAACAGAGGAGCACCCACGCGATTTGGAGACACATGGCCCAGGGTTTAGGCATTCTGGCACGCTCCAGACAACACAAGAGCCAAGTGGAGCCACCAGACAGCCACAAAGCAACGACATGGCCCCAGAACACCTACCTCTCCCCATGCACACATGTAACTGACACGGGCAGTCCCACACATTCGCTGGATTTCAGACATACAAAGACACCTACTCAGTGAAGTCACATGCCACCACACAGCCCACTGGAGGGCCACACAGGCACACCTTGTCAGATCTCACACATATCTCCTCTCCCACCGCTTTTAATCCCATTGGTTCTCCCCTTTCACTTCCCCGGTCTCTCAGAGGCCTGTGTGCAGGCTCCTCAGCCCTCCCACCCGTCACCACCAAGGTCAGCCTCCCGCCGCCAAACCCTGGGTGCATTTATTTCCCAAAACGACACTGCGCGGTTCCCTAGGGAAATCAGAGGAAGGCTGGAAGAGAAACAAGGGCAAAAAGGATGTGACCAGGCAGGGACCTAATGTGGGCAAGGTCAGCTCAGTGCAATTCGTAGTCTCGGCTTTTTCGAGGCTATTCCCGATTCCTTCTGATTTTTAGGAATTCGCGATTCTTTAAGGGGAGGAGGTGTTATGATGGAGAGCAAGAAATGGGTGGGGGGAAGCCGAAGACCAGAGGAGGAGAAGGAAAAGATGGAAGAGATGGAAGGAAAGGAAAAGGAGGGACAGCAGCTGTCCAGGGAGGCAAGCAAGACAGTGAGGCTGCGAGGGAGGGGCCGAGAGGAGCAGCCTCTAGGGAGAGTCCTGTTTACACTTGAGGATCTCAAACCGCTTAGCAGTAGGAAAGGTGAGGTCAGAATGGAAGGAGAGACCGGGAAACGGGGCGCGGGGAGGGAGCGAGAGGAGGAGGGGCACGGTAAAGTGAGACGTGGAGTGCTCCGACGGGAGAGCGGGCGAGGCGGAGGCCGGCGAGGGTGGGCAGGCGGCGGGGCCGCGCGGACCCGACCGGAGCCCCGGAGCCGCGGCGCGCAGAGAAGCTAGAGGGCGCTGGCGCGAGAAGCGCGCAGCCGGGGAGGCAGAGCCAGGCAGGGGCGCGGGGGGGAGGGCGGAGAGGGGTCCGCCGGGACCCGGGCTCGAGGGCCGCCGTGGGGCCGTCGGGGGTGGCCTGGGGCGGAGGGGCTGACACGAATCTGGAGGCCACGCGGGGTCCTGGCTGCTGCCGCCGCCTCCTCCCATACCTTGGCGCTCAACTCGGCCGCTGCCTCCACGCTCTTCTCCGACATGGTGCCGGGGCCGGGGCTGGCGGAGAGCCGGGGTCCCGGGGCCGGAACAGAGGGGCCCTGGACGGCAGAGAGTGGCTGCGGCCGGAATCTAACGCGGTGGCGGCGGCGGCGGCGACAGTGGCAGCGGCGGCCGCTCAGCAAGCTGGATCTCTGGAAGAGGCGGCAGAGGCGCGCGGGGTGGGGCGGGGGTGGGTCTGGAGCGGAGACCCGCAGGGCTGCGGCCGTCCGGAGGGAAGGGAGGTGCGGGCGGTGGCCGGCGCGCTCCGGCCGCGGTCGCTCAGTCCCCGAGTCACCGCCCCCGCAACAGCAGAGCTGCCTCCGACCAGCCGCTGCCGCCCCCGGGAAGGGAACCCGCTTATAAGGCGGCGCTGCCCGACGGGAGGGGCTTCCCAGGGGTGGGGCAGGCTGGAGCGGGGAGGAGAAGAGAGGGGAGGGGGATGAAAGAGGAGGTTGGAGAGGTGGGGATAGGAGGATGAAAGCTAGGGGAGGGAGAGTGAGAGAGGCGGGAGGGAGGCCGAGACCAGGAGGGGGAAACGGAGAGACTGACGGCCGCGGAGAAGAGTGGGGCGAGGAGGTGGGAAGGGGTGGGGTTCCTGCGGGGAGGGTTCTCACCAAATCCCGACCTACTGCCTGCGAATGTGGAGCTTGTCTTTTGAGGGCGTACAGGAGAGGTGGCCAGAATTCTATTAACCCCCTAAAAAGCAAAGAGATTTTGCCAAGGAATAGGGTGGGGTGAAAGGGATCAGATGGATAGGCAGGGCAGGTAACTGAGAAACCAAAAGCTTAAAGAAGAGGAAGAGGTTAGGAGAGCTACTTCCATATCATGCTGAATTTCCCCTCACCCTCCATTCTACATTGGCTTAGCGGCCTTGAGAGAGGATGGGAACGCAGAAAGGGCAGCTCACCCTTCTGGCCGAGACTGATATTTGTCAACTCCGCTAGGTTTCTCTTTCCTTGCCCTTTCTTGTGGTCCAAAAGGAGTCAGAAGTTCTTCCAGTCTCCTTTCCTTCTTTCCAACGCCCTCTGACCTTGGACCTTTCTTGGTAACCTATTTAACTTCATACTTCTTTGCATGATCCTTCTTTTTCTCTCCATCCCATCTCATTCCTCTGCACCAGACCCTCCAATATGTCACCTTTCTCTTTGGCACCTCTTCACTTCTCATTTACCTTTTTCTACCATTCCATATCTGAACTTTACCATACTTCTACGTACTGTTCCCGTCTTGTGTTGCCGGGCCCTATTTCCTTACTTGATTTTCTTCAAACTCATCTTCTTGTTCTTATTTTTCACATTTCCCTTCTCTTTCTTATCTCAGCTGCCATCTTCCTCAGCCTTTCTGTAATTTTGCCTCCTTTGTAAGGGGTCCAGGTGTAAAGTCCTACTCTATTCCACACATCCTCAGATCTCAATTTTAGATTCCTGGGATCATTTTGAGAAGTTGGAGCTTCAGGAGGGTTAACGGCACTGAGATTCGTTTTAAAGGTCAACAAAATAGGGTGGGAAAATAGGGCTTGGGAAAAGATGGTTTTGTTATATGTGCCCTATATTTTTCATAATCATTAACCTCTTTTTTATAATTTTTTATTTTCTTGTAAAAAATACGTTGATTGGTCATTAGTATTTGAGTTTTTCAATACACCACCTTTCGGTCCCCTGGTGTATGCACCTCCTAATATCTCTGTCTGATTCTTCTATCAGTTTCTCAGTCTGTCTTCTCGAAAATCTTTGGGCCCCACCCGGGTTTTTCCTTGCCTGACTCCATCCATTTTTTTTCTCTAAGATCTTTCCATTTCCTTCAGTCTCTGTTTCTCTGACTCACTCGGTGATGTCTTTAGCAATCTCTCACTGTCTCCATCCCTGCTCTCTTTTACTTCATTTCTCTCCTTCGATCTTCCTTCGTTCCCCTCCCTCCCCCCCCCAAGTCTCCCTGTCTCTCTCCCTCCCTGTCAGTCTCTTTCCTCTCCCTCCCGCCCTCCTTTCCTCTTCCCTCCTCTCCCCCTCCCAGCCCCGCCTGCGGTCTCAGACACCCTGCTGGGCTCTTACCCCGTTGCCCTGGTAACCGCCCCCCACTCCGGTCACCTCCACTCCCCTCCCCCTTCCAATCACCGCCACCAACAACCTCCATCCACCTTCCTCCTATTTTTCCTGAGAGCCAATAGAAACCCTGTTGCCAGGTGGAATGCTCATTTGAATCAGCCAATCCAGAAACCCAACTGCATGCCCTGCCTTATATGGGGATGTGAGGAGGGCCACGCCCCCCACTCCAGCCCCACGGGGGACCTACCCCTCCAATGTCCCTTCTCCCCGCCCTGGAGAGAGCCAGGGATCCACCCTTTCACCCTTTTATATGGGTCTTAGTCTCCCATTCCTCTATGTGGGACCATTAGACTTAGTGCGGGGTGTGGGCTGGGCTGTGGGCAGGGCTTCGGGGCCGGGGGTGGGAATGAGGTGTGATTAGGAAAGGGGGGGGCAGAGGGAGCGGGAATTTTGCCCAGGGAGGGGTGTCTAGGAGCAGAGGCAGCTGCAGTGGAAAATTCCAGGGAGATGGAGAGGCAGAGAATGGGAATCCTGCCCCAAGGCCCAAGGGAAAGCCTTAGGAATCTAAGAGGTTGGCCACTAGGGTCCCCGCACCATAAGGGGGCAAACTACAGGAAGCAAGAGGCATGGATCTAATTCCCTTCCTGCTGAGGGGAAGCATCCCTAAGTCACCCCTTTCTGATTGGACAGCAAATTGGTCTGACTTCTTGAAAAAGAAACCAGAATGAGACATGGGATGAGTTCTGAGTGGGTGGGATGCTGAAAGCCTTACCCACACAGTCCTTGGGGTTAAGATATGGGCCTCTGGGGCCAACATTAGATGACAGCAGCTTGTGTTTGCTCCTTTTTAGTTGTTTCTGAGGGCTGGTGGAGACCTGCCTATTCCTAGAATTCTATTACTCTACTCCACAGTTCAATTGAGAAATTCTCTACTAGTTGAATGGAGAAAACTCTGCTGCATACACATTTTAGGAAAGTGAGAGGAAAGAAGCCAGGTGAGAACAAGAAGGATTGAGCCCCCTGGAATCTCTAACTCCTGGCCTAACATCCTGGAAATTTACCTAGCTACAATGTGGAAGTTGTTTCATTCGGATTATTTCCATCTCAATCTTAGCGTATTCCTCCTGCTCCCCTGTTTAATTCTTTTTCTGATGTTTAAATACTTAGGAGTTCTAATTATCATTAAAAACATCAGAGGACTGAAGTCTGTATATTGGGCTTTCACAAATAATTCATTTTTTATATCCCCATTCTACTCGACGGCACATAACAACAACAACAACATTCTACTCCCAGTGAAAACAAAAATTCTCACCGCTGGACCTATATGCAACCTCATGATAGATGGAGAAAAGATTGAAACTGTCAATGACTTCATCTAACTTGGATCCACAATCAACATCCTTGGTACCATCATCAGTCAGATGATCAGGAGACATATTGCACTGGGAAAGTCTGCAGTTAGGGACTTCTCCAAATAACTGAGGAGCAATGATATTTGTTTGACCACTAAGGTACACCTTATTCAGGCCATGATCTTTTCAGTCACTTGTTGTGCTGCTAAGAGCTGGACAGAAGAAAAATTAATCTTTTGAACTGTGGTGTTAGAGAAGAGTACTTAATATTCCATGGATTGCCAAGAGAACAATCAGATACATCTTGGAGAAAAGTGCAGCCAGAGTGCTCATTGGAGACAAATATGATAAAACTTCATCTCATATTCTTTGGGGATGCTGCTAGGAGAGACTATTCATTCATTGGAGAGGGATGGCGAAAGAGAGGAAGACCCTCAACTAGGTGGACTGACACTAACTGCAGCAATGGGTTTGAGTGTGTCAAAGATCATGAGGATGGAACAATAGAAGATTGATCTGTTCATAGGGTCACTATGAGTCATACTCAACGATACCTAACAACAACAACTCCTAACAAACACATTTTCTAACTTCTATTTTTATTTTCCTTAGAGAGTTCTGGTAGCTTATTGATAAGACATTACACTGCCAACCCAAAAAAAAGCTGTTCAAATCCATCAGCTGCTCGATGGGAGAAAGAGTAGCAATCTCCTCCAGTGCAATTTGCTGCCTTTAAAAACTCACTGGAGAGTCAACTACAAGTGGGTTCTGACTCAATGATACTCAACAACACTTTTTCTTAGCTTTAAAAAATATTTAGTGCAACAACGAATGAACGGAAATCTAAAATCTCTGTAAATGTTCATTAAAATTAATACAATTTTAAAAACTGACAAAAAATTAAAAAATATTAAGTCAAATTAGTGGTGAGTTGAATTTTCCTTTTTGCCTTCCATATCAATTCTAAACTCTTACAATTTTAATAAACATTTATTGTTTAAAAACTCTCCTATTAGGTTTGTCTTGGAGGAAGTACAACCAGTATGCTTCTAGAAGGCAAGGATGGTGTCACATCACATGCTTTGAGTGTATTGTCAGGAGGCGCTAGTCTTGGGAAAAGTCCCGCCATGCTCAGAAAAACAGAGGCTCAGGTAAAAGGGAGACTCTCAGGGGGATAGAGTGACATGCAACAAAGGGCTTGAGGTGGTGGAGATTGTGAGGGTGGCACAAGCACCTAACAACAATAAGGGGTCTGGGCCCTGGGGGCTTATTGGATAGTGTATCAGCCTACTAACTGTGAGGTCAGAGCTTCAAACCCACCAGTCTCTTTTTTAGGGGATAGACAATCTCCTCTTGGAAAGTCTGAATCAGCTCTCCATGGCAGTGGATCTTAAGCATGAGGCAACAGGCCATATAATAGAAACACATGTTTTTATTTTCTTTTCTTTTGTAGCTTCAGAGACACAAAGCTGAATAAAAACAAAAGACATGGTCCCTGCCCTTGAGGAATAAGATGGAGAGAACTTTACTCACTCCATCATTACTATGGAGTCTGAGCCAATTCATAGCTGGCCCTCCAGGGGGTTTTCTGTGGTTGTAAATCAA